TAAAGTCACCGGATTGACGTGAGTTATCGGCGTTTAGAGATCGCCCGAGCGCTCGAACAGGTTTCTAGATGTAAGATAGATATCTCGAGATATATCGATTTTTCCCGAGCACGTTGTAAGAACGTATACGCGTAGAAGAATGATGTGTCAATTGATGATGGGGTTAATCTTATAATCCGAAACGTCGCGCGCCTTGTGGAAATCGAAGAGACTCGACCGGTGAATAATTTATTCGTATCGAAACGAATGGCGGGTCGTTATTAAGCCATTAAAAAGGCGCAATTGTAATTATTATCGGCGATAAAGGTACTCATTTGAGTTAATAACGCGCCTATAATAACGCATAAACGTTAGCGGTAAAATGGAAACGAATGGCAATAATCCTCCTATATGTACAAGGCGGTCGGGAATTGATCTCGAAATATCTGGAAATCTCGAAAACCGGGCGATTTTCGAAAAATTTCGAGTCTTCGAAAATCGTAGGAAAGCGTTTTATTTGCGATATAAAACAAACGGAGCGTTTCCGATTCAATCAGTTTTCGAAATAAATGCATTTTTTCATCGAATAACTCTAAAAATTAACTAATACATAATATTGGACCACCTTGTATCGCATTAGAATAAAATACAATATCGCATTTTTAAAATGTATAACGCGGTTTCACGGCGAACAATTCCGCGCAATTTTTTTTTCCTCTCATTCCGGCCCGATATTTTTCTAATATATTTTTCCACCGGCCTATTAATCACGCCTAGGCCATGTTCAACTTATTCACTGTTATATGGAGCATAATTAACCTTGAGATTCGCTCCGTCAAATCGACGAAGTACAATTAGAAAATTGTTCTTTTTCCAATCGTTAAAACGAAGGACTTTACAGCTTGTTAAAATGAATCGCAATGAAAAATTGTGTATAGTGAAAATGTGGCGAATTTACCGGAAAAAAGCGCGAATGTATAGTAGTACTGTGTAGTAAATGTTTGCGAATATACAGTAATTTTTTGCGAATATACAGTAATTTTTTGCGAATATACAGTAAATTTTTGCGAATATACAGTAAATGTGTGCGAATATACGGTAAATGTTTGCGAATATACAGTAATTTTTTGCGAATTATACAGCAACTCATTTCTGACTCTGGAGATTGTGCAACGTGTTTGTGTGAGTTTTTCCTGTTATGGGAAGTTCGGGAGTCGGTGTATATCCGAGAACGGGCCGTCGCGACGCCACCGTCAACAGGTTGTTTAGGAAGATTCACGCCGGGGGTGGGGGAGGAGGAAGAGGAGGAGGCGTGTCGAAGCCGCGAAACGACGCTTCGACATCGTTCGATCATCGAATTACACGCACACATACACACATATATATACGCATTCTGGCAGATAAACAGCCGAAAAGCACTTTGTTAAGACGAAATTCCCGACGCTTATATAGATTTTAACGGGAATTCCCGTGTAGGCGTCAATAGACCCATCAAAATAACGAAATTTGTATTAATATTTTGTCGAGAGATCAATTGGGATGAATTTACTGATATACTTTAAAATATTGCGAATATACAGTAAAATTTTGCGAATATACAGTAAGATATTGTGAATATGCAGTAAAATATTGCGAATATACAGTAAAATTTTGCGAATATACAGTAAGATATTGTGAATATACAGTGAAATATTGCGAATATACATCAAAAGTGTATATTTCCCTATTAAATTTCCTATTGCTCTATTTACAAAGTATCTACTTAAATTCAACACAATACCGACTTCCTTCGATTATTAGTACCTACTTAGGTACGTTTAGTTTTTGTCCGGTCTAACTCTTATGTAACGAGCGACTTCCGCCTTTATCGACCCGTCGATCTCGTACGATTTTTCGGCGTGCGTGAGAATGTATTTTCCTCTCTTCTTTTCTTCTATACATGACTTTTTTCTTTCTTCGTGGTTTTTAAAACGCCCAGATTATTTTTTTTGTGTGTTCTAATCGTCGTTCGTGATCTCCCGTTTCTCGACCACGTATAGGCATATTCGAAACGTATATACATGAAGATGTCTCGGAGATAGGACGAAACGCGATTACCGTGCTCGCACACGAAATGGAAAGTCAATTGCTCAATGGGCAATTAGTGGATTTCCTGATTTTTTTTTTATTTTTGCGAATATACAGTAAAATATTGCGAATATACAGTAAAATACTGCGAATATACAATAAAATATTGCGAATATACAGTAAAATATTGTGAATATACAGCCAATTCACATATTTTTAATACAAAAAAAGCGATCGAATAATCGTGTGGGGTCATCACAAAGTGATTCATCACAAGACCATCTTCATCAGCTCCTCACAGTCGACGATGATAGGCATGTACTCTCGCATACAAAGATCCTTTTTTTTTATACTGTTTGTTTTATTAGTGTAAACGACAAGAATTCGAACGCCCTGTATGCGTTTCTAAACGGCCGTAACAAAAGAGGCCGCCTCTCCTGCCGGCTCGTCTTCCAAACCGGAGTAATTGATTATTATGATACAGCTAATCAATCTCGTGATTAATTAACGAATATGATGAATCGTATAATATCGGCTTCGGAAATGTTTTATATCCATGTGATCCTGGCGGATGCACGAATTGATGTTCTCCGGTTTGTTCGTTTTGTTTTATTTCCATCGAGTTTTTATTTCGGTAATTATACGTTTTATTAACCGATCTCTATTCCGCATTTTAATTATTAGAAATCATAGTAGAAAATTTCAAAATAAATTCATTTATATTCGCAGTGTTTTACTGTACATTGGCAATACTTTATTACTGTATATTCGCAAACATTTACTAGATATTCACAATATTTTACTGTATATTCGCAATATTTTACTGTATATTCGCAGTATTTTACTGTATATTCGCAAACATTTACTGTATATTCGCAAAAATTTACTGTAGATTTGCAATACTTTACCGTATATTCGCATCGGTAAATTTTATTGTACCTATACCTAACTTAACTTCACAGTACGTTTACCTTATAGATTTTCTTCGTAGTATATTTACGTAAAAGCGAAAATAAGATTTCTTTAATGAATAGGTGCACATGTAGATAATATAAATTTGCAATACCATAGACATAGAGTGTTCCCGAGAAGGCATCATTTATTCAAGCTCGAAAACGTAATAGGGCCGGCATCGGTTTGGCACATATGCCGCTTTTCCCATAATCCATTACGTTTTTGACGTCGTTTTTAATTCATACGCGACTCGACATGCAAACAATTTTAATCAACGATAGAAACGAGTGTATTTTCGTATGGATATACGCGGGGTAAAGAGCGAAACTCCTGTTATATTTTCATCGATTTAGCAATCACATTTACCTGTTATATTGTATAGTGTGTTGTTTAAGAAGATTTTTCGTTTAAATTTACCGACGATTAACGGGCTGCAATGGGTGATTAAAGAGCTGTTAATACACGAACAATCGGTAATTAAAAACAACTGTTTCCCACACGTTATATGTGTAAGTGTGTGTACTTATATACACAGGGTCAAGCGTTTATCACTCCAGCAAATGCGCTATTAATTACACGTTATCCTCCTTCGAGCCTTTTCCTTTACACCTGGAAATATATAGATTTTTAATGAGCTTAAGAATTACTCCTTGTGTTAGGAATTTTCACCGCGTATATAAGAAGAGCTATTAAGAATGGGAAAATTTGCGATTATTGATGAATCGAAGAACATACACGTTTTACGAACAATGTCGACATAAGGAACATAAAAGGATGAAAAATATCGGAGAGAAAAAAAAAAGTTCGACAACATGGAAATAAAACAATAGAATCATTTAGTTTATGGTGGGTTGAAATAATATCATCTCTTCGAGGCGAGGAGTGGCCGAATGGGTTAACATATGTAGTTGTACCAATAATAATATAGATAAAGGCGCATAATAATAATGTATAGTCTATTTCGAAAGCGTAGGAGACATTCGCATATTTAGTACGTTTTACTCCTTACATCATAAGTATTTATTATTGTGTAATAGGCCGCGTTTAAAGACACTTGGCCATATGCATAAATTGATAAATTATGTACACAATGTACCAGTTAAATCTATAAAGACACGGCGAAACCATTCAAATTCAATTTTATTACCTTTATACTTTGTATATTTCCGCAGAAATATTCTCTGCGCGAGGTTCAAGTACAATCGTTCCATTATTTAACCCTTTCATTCATATACCTACCTATCATATAATTTGCTTCAACTTTCGTCACTACTTAAAAGCCTTATTCATAATTATTTTCCACCTACTGGTACACTCGCAAAGTTTTCCCGTCTATTCGCAAATATTTACCATCTATTCGCAAATATTTATCGTCTATTCGCAAATATTTACCGTCTATTCGCAAATATTTACCGTCTATTCACAAAAAATTATCGTTATACCTTTAAACGAGCTTTTATAGCGCCACACAAGTTCGATCATTGCTCATCCCACGAGATTTTTTTTTTGTATTCTTAATTATTTATATACTCACGCAATGTGCGCATATATCGTGCGACTTTTTACACCATTTTCGACAGGTGCAACAACAATGGGACAGGCTCTTCTATTTTAATATTAACGACGCGCTACCAATTCCATTGTCTTCCTACTCTTTTGGCTCTTTTGCTCGCTTTCTCTGCATGCCCAATAATCGCCCAAATGTTTTGTCTTATGCTCGGATTTAATGGATTATTCCAACTCGTACAATTCGTACATATGTACCTAAGATATTATTTATGACAATGTTATCGGTAGATTCATTTACTGATGCTTAATTTCCAATTGTTAAATGCGTGATCGTCAGAATTTATTGTATATTCGCAAAAAATTACTGTATATTCGCAAAAATTTACTGAATATTCGCAAACATTTTCTGTATATTCGCAAAAATGTTGGTCTATTCGCAAACTTTTTCCTGTATATTCGCAAAAATTTACTGTATATTCACAAAAAATAATTTTTGTGAGTAAAAAAAAATCATTTCCTGTGTTCCCCTTAACCTAATATTAAATTGTACTAACTATAATTAGCTGAATAGTGAAATAAATCAATCAAACAATTTGGGTGCTGGTAAACTTATGATTAACGGGAAACTTGGCTAAATAATCGACGTTCGGTACGCAAAGTTTCGGATAAACGTGCATGAGGTGGTTCCAAAACGTGGGTGTTCCGTCAGCGTCGTGGAAATAAGAACCCCATCGGTCGGATGAGAGAATTTTCTCGTCGGGATGGTACCCGGTCGAATTTTCCGCCTCCAATTCCTCGCAAACGTGCAACGTATCGGCCGAAGAAGATACGACGGGCGCGTACACGTCCTCGATCAAATTATCGCCCACGTAGAGGCACTTCGGGCGATCGACGGCGCCCCGCAAAAACACCTCCACGTTCCGCCAACATTTCATCGTGTACACGCCGTCGGAGAGCGCCTCGCAATTCGAACAATCGTCGGCGGGTCCGACGAAAAAACCCGGTTTTCCCGCTTCCAGTACCGTCAGATCGAAGAAACTCCTCCAATTCCTACCCAGCACGTACTCCAACGTGTCGAGCGCCGCCTCCTTGTACGCTCCCGTCACCAAAAACAGGGTAATCCCCGAGGATTTCAAGCTCGTCAACCAGTCGCGCACCGTTTCGTCGCACCTCACGTAATATTCCTCCGGATTCGCCTTCAGTACGTTGTAGATGTTACCTGAAACGATACGCAAAATTTAACTAGTATATATTCGCAAAAAATTACTGTATATTCGCAAAAATTTACTGTATATTCGCAAAAAATTACTGTATATTCTCAAAAATTTACTGTATATTCGCAAAAATTTACTGTATATTCGCAAAAAATTACTGTATATTCGCAAACATTTACCTGTCTATTCGCAAACATTTACTGTATATTCGCAAACATTTACCTGTCTATTCGCATAAAATTTGAGGGTGTACATTACCTTTGTCATCGTAATTTGGAGAAAATGTGTTGTAGAGCGCTTCCGTGAGGTCTTCCCACATTCTGTTGAAGGTTATTTTGTGTTCTGTGGCGTCTATTAATCTCGCGTATATCAAGGAGTTGGCGGAATCGAAATAGTCCAGACAGAATTTCATGCGTTCGGTGTAAACGCGAACGAATTCGACGGGATTCCGGACGAATTTCTCGACGAATTCCGCCCGTTTTTGCGGGTAGAACTCGAGCAGTTCTTTTTCGGTTAACCATTTGGTACCGTGCGCGGCCCGTACGATCCTGCCGTCCCGCGCTATCTTCACCACGTTGCCGTGTTTAGTGTCGATCGCGAGTCCTTTGAGAAGGAAATCGGTATCGACGGGGGCGCCGCGGATTTCCCGCGGGTAGTTTTTCCGGTCGACCAGGTACCCGGCGAGCAGGTCGTACTGGAGCCGCGCCAAATTGGCCAATTTGTACCTGGCCAGCGTGTTGTCCAAATCGAATCCGATGCAATTGTAGTCGGTCAATGCGAAATGCATGGTAGTTCGAGCGAAAAATGTCGCAATTATTTTCGTCGCCGTAACCGCGTAACGTCACTTCACTTGACACCGAATCGACGATCGAATGAATCCGTTGTGGAGTTGGCGGCGTTGCCGGGTTGTTGGGAATTTAGGCGGCTTTGGGGAATTTCGCGAAAAAGGTGCGTAGAAATGGGAAATTTTTTGGAAGTTTGTCAACTATGTGGCGTACGTTTTAGCTGATAATACTGTTGGTGTAAAGATTCTTTTTCGTTATTTTGTTTGCTTATTATAAATGTTCAAGGTTTCGATATAGTTAGGTATTATACTCTACTTTTGAATCTATTAAAATCAACGATGTTTTTTAATTTTAATCGTTCTATGGAATTTTACGAATTTTACGACATACTATTTCGAAACTCGTCGTGGAAATAGTTGAAATGACGGATTGACCTCAAAATGCGCCGGAATGCCATCGAGAACCTCTATATCGTTTGCGGAAAACCCGGGCGGAAAATTCAAAGAAAATCTCCGGTCGTTGATGTGGTGGAAACGCGGAACTGTACCTTTTTCGCCGCAGGTTTTGTAGTTTTTAATACCCCGCGGTCGCTTATACAGGGCGTCTCTAAATTTTCTACACTCTTTGTACCTTTTATATTGATGGAAAAAGCGACTCTAAGGAATAAAGCAAATATTTTCGGAGATAAATCTGTTTTTTCGGCATTTATAGATACGATTTCTTTAAGTCCTCATAGCTTACAACATTTTAGTTCTTTATTAATAACAAAAAAAATTCCCAAGTACCTAAACTGATAATAAATACTGTTGCTTTAAGATGATTTAATAGGACATTCTGTATATATTAAAACGCCACATTTTCGTTACCTTAATTTCGCTTTATCTTTCAGGTGCCCGACCGACGCCTATAACATGCCCCTCTGACTCACCATTACCAGGTAAATATACGCCTAATTTTACACATTTTCCCGAAAAAAAAATATATAGAAACCCTATTACCTACGGTATTTTTACGCCGAAAACCCCATATATACAGTACCGTTAACGCCCTCGCCCATTAGCCCGACGCACGTCCGAGCACGTAGGTCTCGGAATTATCGGAATTATCGAGTACCTGCCCCGACACAATGACCGTCGTAAATCGCAAATAATACACGTCCCGGTGAGTTCGATTCGATGGCTCCGTCGCCGTCGCTCTTCATTACGAACATATCCACCTACCCTCGTAAAGAATCCACCAACCGAACAACATTCGTATCTATATCTACGCAAATATATTGAATAACCCTCGTATACATTTAGGCAAATATATTGAATAACACTCGTATACATTTAGGCAAATATATCGAAGAACCCTCGTAAATATATGCGCGAATGCAGGGTGTTAATTGATAAGTGCGAGAAACTTCAGGGGATGATGAGATACGGGGTGTTTTAAAGTTTCTTCACTACTAGATTAAGTGTATTGAGGTAATGAAAAATACACGTCAAGATGTTTTATTTTTTTACTCGAAAACAGCGGCCCGTACGAAAAAAACACAAGAGAGTTTTTTTCTCACAAATTGAACGAGGAATTCGTTCATAATCGAATTTTCAATAAAAATGCACCAGTGGTGTACCAATATTATTTTTTCTTTTAAAAATTTTTATTATTACCCGTATACGCGTCAATGATGAACATAAAATTTTTAATTTTACGTCAAAAAATGCGTAATAATTACCTCTCAAAACCCACCAAATTTCATTTGAATATCTCGCCTGGTTTCAGAGAAATAAATAAATCTTTGGTTTTTAAGAAGAAACTTTAACACCCCGTATCTCGAAAACGAAGCATTTCCGAACATATATTTATATAGCAAAATATCATTATTTTTTCATGCAGAATCACCCCCTAAAGTTTGTTAATTAACACCCTGTATATCGAACAACCCTCGTATACATATAGGCAAATATATCGAACAACCCTCGTATACGCACTAGCAACCGCATCACTTTTATCCGAACTCATAGAACTGACCATATTTGCGAATACACTTGCACTTACACCCGTATAACGAAAAACGAATATGAAACGTGGCATATACGAGGGGCGTACGAGAAGAAAAACGTAAATAAACTCCTGCCGAGCGAGAATTTGGGCGCGATTAAAAACTCTCTCTCTCTCTCTCTCTCCATATTTTCCCGTGCGCTACTTTTGTTTAATTGCGGGACGTTTTTAATTTATCGCCGGGCACACATGTCGCTTTCCTGCTACGGAACTTCGATATTAGCGCGGCAGGAAAGAGGGGCGAAAGGAGGGAGGGAGCGGGCGGGGAGGCGTACTCGAAAAGTTGGCTACTTAAATGCGTGTTATGTACGTGAAAATGCTGCGAGGATAATTCGAGGTAGTCGAGTCGACGTTCAGCAGGATTATTATAATAATCGCAATGTTGTAGTTTTGGCAGTGATTTTAAAAGGGGGTGTTTAAGTTTTAATTAGCTTTCGTGTCTTGTTTTATTGCAGGATTTATTTGCTTTAATGATTTAGGTATAATTAACCTGCTAATAGCAGGAATTTGCACCTTTAATAAGGTTGTAGGTTGTTCAAATTTTTTACAGTAGGATACATAATGAATTGGATTATAATTTATTTCGGCTTGTTATAGTGGATATTTCTGCGAAATACAGGAATTGCAGGAAAAAAACTCATACTTAAACAATTAAATTACTTCCAAAAATACCATCATTTGGTATCATCAAATTGCAGGATAATTTGCATTGTTAATAAGGTTTAGATTCGATTTTTTTACAGCAGGATACATCGTATATTAATTAACTTGAGAAGTTCAGCAGGATTATAAAAATATTGTAGCTGGTTCGGGTACATTTTATAGCGGTATTTTAAAGGGGTGTAAGGCACGTAAATTAGCGGAGATTCTCGCGATTTGCAGGAATTGCAGGAGAGAAAAAAAAACCCGGTACTTCAAATAAAGTAAAACGTGTTCGTCGGGCGGAAGTTCGTAGGACGTTCGAAATGCGAAAACAAGTCGGTAATCTTGTTATCGAATCGGGATGGGAAAATAATGTGGATTTGCAGAATTCGCAATTTAATAAAATCATGTTTAAATTCCTCCGTTGGATATTGTATACATAATTACTCAGGATTCACTTCGCCCAAGATAATCACCGCAATATGAATCGACAGGACCGTCGCATCAATCAACTGAATTCATCGAACAAATTCAATTCAACTCTAATCGATCAGATAGAGTTTTTTTTTATCGAACAAGTTAGCGGATCGATTAATCGATTACGAGACGGGATTTTTAACGGGCTTGTAATAATCGTATAAAGGGTTTGAGGAATTTTCCTTCTAGTTCCTCGATCCGGCGCTGGATGCACGAGCAACTTTAATTCGAATAAAATCATATTCTTTGCTAGGTATGCAAGTTTCGTACTTACAAGTGGTGCTCGGAATATTTACTTCCGATGAAAAATAAAACTCCGGGACGACCGCGGTAAAAAATAGTATAATAAAAAAACAACGGATATACGCGAATAACGATAGGAAAAAATGAATTCGTATAAAAAAATTAGCTGTCTTCGAAAGGTTTTTTTTAATAGAGTATAGAGTTGAATAATTTAAAAATATTGGCATTCAATTAATTAACACCCTATATACTTCCCAGTTAAAAAAATAGGGGTTGTAACTGTCCTTCGAAGGGGGTTGAAAATAGGACTCACATTTTGACGTTAAGAAATGTCAAATTATAATTAAAATTTGACGTGTTACGGGATTTTCTATAAATACGTCCACTAACCGAAATAATGAATATATTCCATTTACCATTTCCACCCTGTATGTACGCATGCAATTCATAAACAAACAAATTTACAAATACAAAAAAAAATCAATTTAACTATACAAAACGAAACGCACAAGCATCCATCTATACCATACGATACAATAGAGCAGAATCAGAAACAATCCGCCCGTCGATCCATTATTATCCGTTTCGCCGGCGATTAGATCTCCTTTCTCTTCATCGTCGAGTCGAACTGGCCAAACGGGCATAGTATACACGCCGAGCATTTTTACTCGGAATCTACCTGTTACGATTACGTGACCGGCATTGTCTAACATCGGTAATCCCGACGACCGGCCATTACCTGTCCCATGGCGAACGGACCACGTCATGTGGGTACATTACCCACACCGTATACAGCTTGTCCGGGCCCGGGTCGTTCGTCCCACGCGCTTATCTCTACCGTTTACAGTTCTTTTTAACGATATATCGCTCGATTTCGAGCTTTAATCGGTTTATCAGAAGTGGGATTCTAAAATCAGAAGTGGGATTTTTTTTGAGTTTTGAGTTTTTTAGTAATTGTTTAGGACTTATCTCAACCATTTATAGTATACCACCATTTTTTAAGTATATATCGCTCGATTTCGAGTATAATCGGTTTATCAGAAGTGGGATTCTAAAATCAGAAGTGGGATTTTTTCGAGTTTTGAAGTAATTGTTTGGGACGTCCCGTATGAGCGTGTGCCCGAGAGGTCAGACACCCCTCGTTGGCGTCAAATGCCAGGTAGTAATGATTTTATCTAAATATATGACAGCCCCTAACCTTCGCATCGGTATTGTTTTCGAATTGGGGGTAGTTTCCTGTCGTAAAAATATGCGAATGTAGCATAAAAGCGACCTTTTCATATACACGTATATACAAGTTTATAACAACCCCCCCTCGTGGTTTCTTTGCTGGCTATTTTCGTGTTTTATTGCACCCTCAATAGCTTGTCTACTTTACCTACCCCTTATACGAATATATTACACCTATTTTCCACAATTGTAAATTCAAATAATTCTAGCAAACTCACCCTTTTTTTTGTGAAATCGAGTTGTGGGGGAGGGGGGTGAAATAAATTTAATACGGGATGATACAAAGCAACGATTAGGGGTAGTAGGCCTAATAAAATCGGAGGAGCCAGCAAATTACGCGTACCGAATTCAATTAGGGTCGTATCTGGCAAATATCAGGGATATAATGTATTTTATTTTAGAAATTTAAGGGGGG